CGGGCAGGCCAGGGCCGGGAGGGGGCGCCCCCTGGGGAGGAGGAAGGGAATCAGGCCTCGGGAACTGAGGGACCGCCTTCTAGGAGGCAAAGAGAGCCTTGAAATCACATCACTGGGGAGGGTGACCTGCAGGACCTGAGAACCGTGGGAGAATCCGCGAGGCGACAGCGAAGGAGCCTGTGAGGGCGGGGGCGCAGTCGGAGGAGGCAGGCCGAGGGAGCTACGGGGAGCACTGTCGGGTGGAACCGAGAGGGGCACAATGGTGCACACCAGCGGGGGCCCGCAGCTGGGAAAGAAAGGGGATTGTCATGGAGCGCCGTGGGCGGCAGGCCCGGGAGGCTGGCGTGAGCGACGGGAAGGCGTTTCGCCCTGGAGGCCTGTGATGTTCAGGGCGGGGGAGGGGACTGGAGAGCAGTCGGCTGAGAGGTACCGGGAATAGGCTTGTAGAGGAGGGGGGCCCGGCCCGCCAGTGTGCTGATGTGGATGCGAACGCGGGGGCAGGGATCCGTAGGGGCAGAGGTCGGTGCAGGACCCGGGGATTCCCTTTTCCGGAGGAGAGCGCAGGTAGTCTAAGCCGGCGGCACGGGCGCCGGGAAGGAGGAGAGCGCGCAGAGGCGGGATGGAGAATCTGAGGCGCGGACGAGAGGGGCTCCCGAACCGACGGGCGAGGGGGCAGGGCTGCGCCGGGGCCGTGGGGAAGAGCCCCCATCCTCCTAGGCCTAGGTGTTTGGAGCCCTTGCTGGGCGCCGATCCGACCGCCTGTCCGCGGTCCCGGAGTCTGGGAGGCATGATGTCATCGCTGCCTCTCCACACTACAGCAGTATAACATGCAGCTTTTACTCACCTATTTTAATGAATTCAACAAACATTGATTGAACAGCTTCAATGTGGCAGGCCCAGGAGGCTAGCAGACAGAGCCAACACAGCCCTGCTCTGCAGTGGCTGAACATCAAGAGTGTGAGAGAAGCTTAGAACCAGAAACTGTAATGCAAGCAGACTTAACTCAGGGTTAGAGCAAATAAAGGGCAACAGGAGAACAAAGAGACAGAGGAGAGAGAAGAGAGAGAAAGAGAGAGAGAGAGAGAGAGAGAGAGAGAGAGAGAGAATCCAGGGAGCGCCCTGGCTCTGTTCTCAGTTCGCTTTTCCTTCTCCGTCCCCCCGCCCCGCCCCCGGGAGCCTTAGGGGGAGCTGGAAGGAGTCAGGGCAGGCCAGAAACCTAAAGGTTGGGTCCCCTATTCTCTGAGTTCTGCTGGAACCTAGCAGAGCTCTCCAAGACTTGCAGATATTGGGCTCCCTACGGCTCTTCCCTCTGTGTTAGGCCAAGAGGTGAGGAACAGCTTCTACCCTTGGGCCTCCAGGCCTCTGGCTTACAGATGTGCTTTGTGGCTTCCCGAGCAACCTGCCCATCACAGCAGCCAAGACAGATCTTGGTAGGAAGCCATGACCTACTCTAAGCCACACTTTTTGGGAGATGGTAGAGAGAATCATTGGAGGCTACCTGGCAGGAGATAAAAGTCATTTTCCCCCTTTTGTGACTACTTAGTTCCAGAAGCCAAAAGAGAAGCTGCACAGAAGTGTACCATATTACGCTGGGGGGAGAGTTGCTGGCCTGATGCCATCATTGGATTATTTAGGGGGTCAGAAAAACTTGGTGACAAGTTTGTCCCATAATATTGAAGAACTTTGGGCTGGATTAAGAGGACTTTCATTTCTGGATTATTTTTCCACCCAACCTGGTTTGTCAAACTAGATTGCCCTTCCAATTCTAAGCATCTAATCAAGAACCCAAAGGGAGGGTGGATGAAGGAGGAGGAGGACGTCCAAGTGAGTCAGAAGAGCGCAGTGAGTTGGTTCTTGCCTCCCATGTGGGGTTCCTGAAAAGGGAGGCAATAACTGTCCAGGGAAAGGGGGGGAAGGAATTGAATCACTCGGTTCTCTCCGTTGTCCTTGGTGCCTCCATCATTGCCTAAAGTTTTTAATGATGGTTTGAGTGAGTAGTGGTTCCGGAAGACTCCCAAGCTGTGGCTCTGGAGGAGAGGTGCAAGGAGACATTTATCAGAAAAACCAATTGCCTTCAGACCTTTTTCTTGAAGCCTGAAGGAGTCCTTCTCTGCTAGGGGCTGCTTTGTTGCAGTTGAGTGAGAGCCTTATGGAAGTAGCAATACAGCCATCCCCCATTTGAGGACCATAGACACTGACCTGCAGATTTCTGTTACTTGATCGTTGTTCCCAGGTTGAAGCCCAAAGGACTCCCAGAATTCCTTAAATGCTCTGTATGTTGTTGAGACCAGCAGAATTTTGTGTGGCATTTCCCCAAGAGCCTTCATTTCAGGGTATAAGGACTCAAGGTGGTATACCATAGAAGAGAAAGGCAAAATGGCTTGTTAGGAGTATCTGGATGGACCGTAACAACTAGGGTCCCAGGCTTGAACTCAGCTGTGACCAATCTTATTTCTTGCCATTATTTATTGAGACCTCTATTCTAGGAAGTCTTTCCTCTTCTCCAGACTTAGTTTTCCCATTTATTAAATGAAAACAAGCTATCTCTTTAAAGGTTAAACAATAGCTCCTCACTCTCTCTTCCAAAGCATAGCATAGGGCAGGGGTGGGCAAACTTTTTGACTCGAGGGCCACGATGGGTTCTTAAACTGGACCGGAGGGCCGGAACAAAAGCATGGATGGAGGGTTTGTGTGAACTAATATAAATTCAAAGTAAACATCATTACATAAAAGGGTACGGTCTTTTTTTTTTTTTTTTCGTTTTATTCATTTCAAATGGGCCGGATCCGGCCCGCGGGCCGTAGTTTGCCCACGGCTGTCATAGGGACTTGATATTACTGATTCTGAAAATTCATTTACCTGATATTTATTGAGCATCTGCTCTGTTCTAAATACTACACTAGGGGTTAGGAACACTGTGGTTAACAACATAGATGCAAAGATGGCCCTGCCCTCCGGAAGCTCACAGTTCAACAGAAGTTTATTGTTCTTGCTCACTCCCTCAGGGTGAGCCTCTCTGAGGGCAGAATGGGGGCTGTCTCCTTAAACCCTAAAGGAAATGAGGCAATGCTGGTGCCAGCATCATTCCCTCTTTCTGGACTAAGCTGTACTTGTACAGGCCTGTCATGTGGGCTCGATCATCAAATAAACCTCCCCTACTCATAGTAGTGGGAAGAATCCAGAGGCCATCCCTCACTTGGAAAAATGAGATCTGAGGGGAGAGTATCTTTTTTTTTTTTTTTTTACCATTTACTTGAAAGAGAAACTCGAGCTTAAAAAGGAGGCCTAGAGGAGTGGCATGAGCTGGAAGAGAAGGCACAGCCAGCAGATCTGGGTGTTTCCAAGGTGCTAATTTAAGCATTAGTTCTCAGTTTAGTGGGAAGAAGCCATCCCTGCCCTGTTCATACTGCTGCTGTACGGCAGCTGCAAGGAGCCTTCCTCTGGGGTGGGAGTTGGCCTGAGGGCGTGGCCTCCCTCTTTCCCCCATCACACCAATTATTTAATTGGCCTGGCAGCATCTCAGCAGCTGAACCAGGCCTGGGCTTATCCCTGAGAGCTCCCCAGGGTCTCTTCCTGTCTCCTTATGAAAGGAATGAGAGCTCCTCTTGGAGCCCTAGTCCCTGGGCTCCACTCCTGCTCTCTCCTAGATAATCCGTAGTGTTTTTGAGCACAGATTTCCCTAAAGAAACTGCCAGGGATAGGCACATCTTGTATGTCAGTTCTGTGTCCAAGCCACATAACTCACTGATCTGGGGACACACCCATCTGTCCAAGGCTCTCTGTTGAGCAATTGGGTTGAATTTGGGCTATTGTTTGTGGCTCTGTTGTCTGTCTGCTGGGCTGGTTGGTGCAGTCTCAGTCTGTCTTCTACTTGGCTACAATTGGAGAGGAAGAGATTTGTGGAAAACAAAACACACAAATGGAGCTTTTAGGCACTTAATTGTGTCGGGCAAAACCCTGCCTCCTGTGCTTTCAGAGACCAAAAAATGGCATATGGCACCAGACAGGGTCTCTGTACACTTGACCGAAATGCTAGCCGGGGCTCCCTGAAACCTAGGTTGTCTGTTAACTCAGTTGTTTAATTCATGAGCATATGCTCAGTTCCAGGTACTTTAAGGACTAAGACAATGAGACCTCTCCAGTGGTTGGCCGGAAGGATGGGCTCAAATGGCTATAGCAGCGGTTCTCAACCTGTGGGTCGCGACCCCTTTGGGGGTCGAACGACCCTTTCACAGGGGTCGCCTAAGACCCTCGGAAAACACATATATAATTACATATTGTTTTTGTGATTAATCACTATGCTTTAATTATGTTCAATTTGTAACAATGAAATTGGGGGTCACCACAACATGAGGAACTGTATTAAAGGGTCACGGCATTAGGAAGGTTGAGGGCCACTGGGCTATAGGAAGGTTTTAGATACATGCCAGGAAAGAACGGAGATCAATGGAGGGTGCTCCTGAGAAAGGGTGACACCTCCCTTGGGAGAAGATGAAAAATGCTGAAGTTCTGACCCTTTGACCACCTGAGTCTTAAAGTAGTTTCACACTCCTCCTGCCTCCTGACACTCAGGGATGGGGATGGTCAGGACATTAATTCAGTGAATGGACCACAACAGCTCCTGAAAAGTGGCAAGAGCCACTATGGAAAATTAACCTACATGTATTATGTGGTCAGGGAGCCTTAAGTTGCCTCCTGGTAGTCAGATGACTTTTCAGTTTAAGGATGGACTCTCCTAATGGGTCGATATGGCTTATGACCTAGTATTTCTAGGTTCTGGAATGAGCCCTTTTCTCTTTTCCTATATTGCAAAGTGAGGATCAGGTTTACTTAGGCCTCTACCTTACCCCTTACTGCTTTACTCATCGCCTCAATCAACAAATACTAAGAACCTACCTTCTGCCCGCTAGATGTTGTGCTGGAATCCATAACATAGAATTTTTGCTCCAGGAATAGGCATAATCAAGATGGATTGAGGTACAACAGAGTAATGAGCACTGCAAAAGGAAGAACCAGGACCAAAGGAAAACAGGAAGGACTTCCATTAAGTGGTCAGAGAAGGCTTCACAGAGGAGTCATTGCTGAACTGACTTTTAGAAGAGGTGTAGAAGGTTGGCAGATGAGATGAGGTCAAGAGTTCCTGGCAAAGGACATGGAGGAAAAAACAAAAAGGTGCATTTGAATGATTGAAGGGTTTTTCTTAAGGGAATAACATCATCAAATTTGAGTTTAGGATTAAACTTCAGTATCGGATAAGAGATTAGACAAGGTAAGATTGGAGGTCAGAAAACAAATATGAAAGTGGGTACAATAATAATCCAGGAAGAAATTATTTTGGCCTAGAGCTAAAAAAGAGGAAAAGATATATATATATATATATATGACCATCCAACCGTCCGACCGGTAGCTATGATGTGCAATGACCACCAGGGGGCAGATGCTCAACACAGGAGCTGCCGAGCTGTAGTGACTTGGCAGCTGCAGTTCTCGGGTGATGCACCCAGAACCAGAGAGGAGGGAGCCCAATTCCAAGGTGCATCACCTGAGACCTGCCCTCTCACAAT